TGCCTGGTTCTGTCCTGACCCCCCAGGATTTTACTGTGCATCTGTAGGGCATTGGCCCGCCCCCACGGTCCCCTTGATGATGCTCCTGGCATTCAACTCCACCTGGCCCCCAGGCACCTTCATTTCCAGCCCTTGACTGGTGCCACCACCCTGCCCAGGATGCTGGCCCGGGGCAGTGGGTCTAGCCACGAAAGCTCGGGCCTTCCTTGGGTGGGAGCTCGGCTGTGTGGTCTCTGACCAGCCGCCCACCCCTCAGAGTCTGTCTGTCTCCTCTGTGGAGCAGGGTGGCACATTAGTACCCGCCTCCCGGAGTGAGGGTGCGAGTCAGCGAGACGCTGTGAGCAGGGCCGGGCACCGTGCCTGCCCCTGGCCATTCTTGGCACTTGGTGCGTCCTCTCACATGCCAGCCCAGCCGGGAAGGAGCCAGAGGGGGCACCCACCCSGCGGCCTCTGCAGGGGAGCACCAAAGGGAGGGCAGGCCGCGCCGGGGAGGCCTGTGAACTTGGAGCCACTCACGAGGGAAGAGGGTGCCAAGTGAGAGGGACCTCACTGTGCCACAGGAGACGGGCTCRGTCACTCCTGAGGGACGGCCGTGGGCACCACCACCCCCAGGGGAGACTTAACGGAGGGGAGTAGCAGGAGCCGCTCCATGTCCCCATGATGAGGACAGGTGTGACACTGGACTCYGTGAGAGAAATGCTGGTTCTCTCCCAGGGCCCTGTCCCTTGGTGCCCCTGAGACCCTGAGCTCAAACTCTGGGCCCTGGGGACAGAGGCCAGGCAGAGGCTTTGGCTCTGCAGCTCGGCACACTTGCTGAGTGTCAGCGGGGGGTGTCAGCAGGGACAAGGGATGCTTTTGTCCCTAAAAGGGTGTTTGTGACAGAGTGGGACTCTCTTTCCTGCCCTGTTCTGAGCTCTGGCTTCCGTTGCCTGCACATTGCAGGCGGGGGGCTTGGCTCACAGGGGTAGATGTGCCCTGGGTCACAGGGCWCAGCAGGCACACGTAAGGGGACAGGGCGGCGCTGGTCAGACTGCACCTCGAGGTGTCATTGGGACCCGGGGCTGGCAGATGCGTTGGGAGAATAAGACCCCAGCCCTGTTGTTCCTAGCTGTGTGACCTGGGGCACCTGGTCCCCAAGCTTCCTGTGTTTACCTGAGAATGCTCATGGTGAGTGGTGTCCGTGAATTTGGACTGTGGATAGCACCGCCTACCGTCCTGCCTCATCCCTCTTATCTGTGACCAATGGCCATGAGTCCTGTGGTCACAGCTCAGTGACAGCCTTGGTCTGAAGGGAGTGGTAGGACCCACCCATGGTTGTCACAAAGTGGGCATTGACTTAGGACGTCTGTGCTTCACATCCAGGTAAAGGGGTGCAGGCTGTCATATTAGGGAAACTGAGGCAGGATCAGGTGGTTCCATATGTGACATTAGTAGCTGAGTGACATGCAGCCTAGGTATCTGGTTTTGGCTTGAAACTCTTGAATGACTGCCGGGTCTCAAGGGCGAGTGTGACACTGGTGGCCTTTAGGTTCTTTGGAGGGTTCAAGGATGTGGCCACACCTGGACCTGCCCCCACGTGGTTCCCACTCCTTTGCCGGGGCCATGAGGCAGCTGCCCAGCTCTCCAGCCTCCCAGCCCCGTCCTCCCAGGCCGGCCTCCCTGTGTCTTGTGAAACAAACAAAGGGCTCAGAGGACTTCTGGGCGTCGCGGTGGAGGGATGTCGCCTCCTCGTGCTGTTTCGCGTCCACCCCGAGGCCCTGGAGGCGGGGGAGTGCTTCTCTTCCCCCGTGGGCCTCTGCTGAGCCACTAGAGAGCGGTTCAGAGGAGCGCGGGGACTGGTGGAGGAAGAGGCTCCTTCTGCACTCTGTGGCCTGCCGTGGGCACAGGCACGAGCCCTGGAGGCAGCGAGGTCCAACTCGGGGTGTTGGCAGGGAGCAGGCAGATTAAGACAGGGTGTGGTCCGTGCCGGCTTTGTGGGGCCAGGGCCAGGGGCCAGCACCAGACCGTGTGGGTGGACACCCACAGCTCCTTTTGTTTGATGCCAAACAGGAACATAGTTGAGGCCAGGGACTGTGGAAACGGAGGGCATCMAGCCACCAGTTGGCGGCCTCGACCAGCGGGTGCTTGTCACATGGTGCACTTCCTGAGGAGGTGGCTCCGGTGTCTGAAGGCGAGGCAGGTGTCTCCCAGGTGTGCAAGTRCAGCAGAGGGGTGGGGGCCACAGCCCCCCGGCCCACAGCCAAGGGTTGACTTAGTGGACCCAGCCGAGGGCCCTACGCTGCTGGAGTGGGATCTGGGTCTGAGGCTGACCTGCCTCCATGCTCACTGTGTGGGAGAGCGGGTTCAGCCAGACTTGGAGGAGAGYTGGGGCCCCATCCCGTACCCATGACACCTCCACGTCGGTGTCTACCCGGGGGGGTCCTGCCTCCAGCTTCTGCCAGGAACCCTCCTCTATCCCCTGGGCCTCTCCCTGTGACTTCCACGCCAGGGGGCTGTGTGCTTGGGCCCACCTTCCAGGAAGTCTCCCTCCACCTTCCTGGGATGCTCCTTTCTGTTTCCAGAGCATCTCCGCGGGCTGCTGGGGGGTCCCTGTGTGCCAAACGTGTCCTGCACACGGCTCTGCCTCTCCTGCGGGTCCCCTACCCTCTGCCTCAGCTGCCACGCTGACCTGGTCCCTGCGCCAGCCTCGGGAATTCCCGTGACCCTCTCTCCCCTCTGGGCCTGGATCCGGGCTGTCAGCTTGCAGATGTAGCCCGGTGGCTGGTCAGTTTCTCTTTTTGGATAACTGTCCCCTCTGCCTCCCTTATGTGAGTTTTCTGGGTCTGTGCCCTAATGGGGTCGGTGGCCCAGGGACCCAGTAGCCRCGTTGTGCTTGTTTCTGGGAGTGATCCGCCACTCTGGACGGGTGCCCRTTTTGTCCACCCCACCAGGCCTACATGGGTCTTGGTCCATGTGCTGCCACSCACTGCCACCTGGGCCCCAGACCACCCCAGGAGAGGGCAGCAGCCCAATCTGGGTCCCACAGCTTCCAGGGCCTGGGACAGGAACAAAGCAGGCCACACCACCCTCCCTCCAGGCCCAGCGTGGGCAGAGGCCTGGAGACAACRGAGGGGGTGTCCCTGGCCGGGGTGAAGAGTGCATGGGCTTCAGGGGCACTGCAGGTCCTTCTGGGGTGTGGGTGTTGCACAGAGCAGACCCTGTGTGTCCCTGAATGCACGGCTTTGTCCTGGACCTAGCAGACCAGCCCGCGCTCTGCAGAATCAGGTCAGGATGCCCAGGCTCTGGACACGCCTCGCCGAGGGAGATGGGCAGGGTGACCACAGTGACCAGCCCAGCCCAGCCTCTGCCCTCCCTGTGGAACCCAGGCAGCCCGGGAGCTTCCCGCCAGGAGGAGCCCCGCCTCCTCAGGGTCTGCTCTGCTCACCTGAGCCCTGGGTGCTGCGTTCCCTCGCCTGGGTCCTCCAGGGTCAGATGGGGCAGCATCTAGCCAGGAGCCGTGGCCAAGCTCGGGGGGGAGGGCCYGCCAGCTCTGGGCTCTTGGACTTGGGGATCCCACCCCGCACCTCTGCGTCTGCAGGGGCATCGCCCTTGGGGCCTGACCAGCCCTCAGTCCTCACCGTGCAGGTCTGGCGGGGCCAGCTGAACCCGGATGGAGAGCTGGGGTGTCCCCCGACCAGGGGGGTGACAGAAGCACTCGTGTTTAGGACGTGCCYGGCACGGGGCTCCAGGGGCTATTCTTTGGCTGGGGTAGTGTGGCTGCCCAGTGGGATCCTTGGCCCACTCCAGACACCATCTGACTCCCAGCTGTGATATCATAAGTGTCTCCAGACACTCTTCTGTGTCCCTTGGGGACACTTACCCCAGTCAGAGGCACTTCCTCGATGGCATGATGTCCCATGGAACCAGGGAGCGGTGGTGCACGTGTGTTCTGACGACCTTGAGGGACACGGTGGCGGGAGGTCAGGGCTCAGGAAGTGGTCTTGGGGAGAAGCTTCTCTGACATGTCCCCTAGAAGGGGACGCTCTTGCCTGAAGCTCTAGGGAAGCCGGGGCTGGTGGCAGGAGAGTCCCCGCGGGGTCTGGAGCCTGGGCCCGGTGGTGACGTTCAGTCCCCTGCRTCCCCTTGCCCATCTCGGAGCAGAGCTGAGGCAGTGGCCTTGTGTTGCACCTGTGGCTCGGAGCCGGGCTAACTGCTGCGAGGGCCGGACAGCACCAGAACCTTCTCCCGCCAGGTCTGGGGGAGGCACATTCCTGCGCCGTGGGCCTCCTGGGCCAGCTGCTGCCCCTCTGCCAGTGTCACTTCCCAGGCACCCGGCATCCTGCCCGTTGCTGGGGGCTCTGCTGGCACCAACTGCAGCCAGCTGCCGAGGCCCAGACCCGCCTGAGTCAGCAGAAGCTGCCCGGCTTGGGCAGGATCAAAATAACCTCCTTCCTTTTCCAGCACTTGAGGGTTTTTCCGCCCTCCAGGGGAAAACACGCCCCCTGCCAAAAAAAAAAAAAAAAATCTAAAAAATGAGAATTGTCACATCTGAGCCATCTGGAAGGTGTTTTCTGAGGCCTCTTGGTCAGGGGGGGGGTGCTCACAGCCCTGGCCTGTTCATCTGTGTGTGTTGGGGCGTGTGTGGGGGTGTGAGGACATGGGGTGAGCTCCGGTGTGAGCACGCCCGTCTCTCTGTTCTGCCTGTTTCTCCCACACCCAGTCCCAGGTTCCCCGTAGAGGGGAAGGGGCCCCACCTTTTGCTACAGGGGGCTGAGAACCCAGGGCAGTGAGTCCTTCCCCAACCGCGCCGYCCCCACCCCCCACCCCCGCCATTGCACGCGGGTCTCACCACAGCCCTGGGCACAGGCTTTGAGCTGCGTCCCAGGCACWCAGGACAGGGTGTCTCAAGATCCCACCGTCCTGAGTCTTCCGGCCTTCCCAGGCCACAGGGGCTGTGGGCATGCAGGGCCCTGCGCCGGCAGCCTGGGTGGCCTGRTCTCACGTGTCCCTTGTCCCCACAGCGGAGCTGGAGTTCGTCCAGATCCTCATCATCGTGGTGGTGATGATGGTGATGGTGGTGGTGATCACCTGTCTGCTGAGCCACTACAGACTGTCCGCGCGCTCCTTCATCAGCCGGCACAGCCAGGGCAGGCGGAGAGAGGACGGGCTCTCGGTAAGTGTAGCCTCGGTGGCATCCCGGGCCCCCTTGGCAGTAGGAGGCCCTGGTGAAATGCCCTCTGTGTCCCCACCATGGTGCTGGAAGGAACCGAACTTCAGGGACAGAGGACAGGGCTTGGTCCCCTCCTAGCCTCCGCTCCCTCCTGTTTATAGGAGTGAAGACACCTGCCTGGGCACAGCCCTGAGTGCCGAGGGCCTGGGAGACATGGGGAGCAGGTRGAGGCAGGGCTGGGAGACCCCCTTGCTTCTTGAGCCTCTGCCATGTGCCACAGGTGGGACGTCGCAAGGGCCAGGGTGGGAGCAGCGCCATGAGGTCCATCTTCCCGTCTGTCCCCACTGTGGTCCAGGATGTTGTGCAGGGACAGGCCTGCAGGGGGAGCCAAGAGCAGGAGGCCACTGGGGCAGGTGATGGCAGGACAGGTGTTCGAGGGACATTCAGAGACCAGAAGGGACAAGCAGCTGGCATTTGACTCTGCCCAACAGGATTGGGTGGCAGGAAAGGTGGGTGCAGTCCTACAGCCATGACCCAGACTGAAGGGGTGGGTCACAGGCCAGTTCCTGCCAGCGTGTGGTCACAGTGCCCTGGGGAGGCAAAAGGACCCTGGGATCGACCCTTCTGAAGCCTGAGTCTCAGCCCAGCTTCACCAGTCCCAGCTGGGCACTTTGGCCAGTTCCTGATGCAGAAAGCGGGGCCCTGGCTCCCTTGGTGTGAAAAGGGTCACGACGCCCACCCCCGGGACGCAGGTCTTCCCCACCCCCAGGACTCAGGTCTCTGTCCTTAGTGGCTGGAAAGCACTTTACCCATTCAGTCCCTCAGCCGACGACCTGTACCCAGTGTGCGCTGTGCACCTGGAGTCCCCCTGGCCTGGAGGAGAGCACGGGGGCCAGTGTCCCGCAGCTGCTGCTGGTGGCCACGCACCAAGACAGGGAACTCTCAAGCTCTGCGGAACCAAGGTGGCCATACTGGGAACCCCAGGGCAAGCCAGTCTACGGCCAGGTTGCTGGGGACAGAGGGGGATTGTGGGGGTGGGAGAAAGACAGCACGGCCCCTCCGCACCCTCAGACTGAACCAGCCTCAGATCAGAGATAGCTCGGGAAGAGTGTGTGTCTGTCCTGGACACAGCCGGTGGCTTTCCCTCTGACATCCCCTGCAGCTGAGCAACCACTTGCTCAGTTGTTGATTAGGCCACCTGGAGGTGACATGGGGAAGGTGTGGGGGTCCAGGCCAGTGCCACGCCATTGTCGGTGCCCAGGGGTACTCGGGGCCAACTGCGCTGCACAGGAGAGCGCTTGCTCTTCGTCATCATCCTCTCTCTGACGCTGGAGCTGTGAGCACCGCTGGGCCTTCTGAAAACCCGGGCAGTGTCCCCTTCGGACTCAAAGCCTAGCCTGAGGGGGGAGCCCCCAGAGTAGGAGCACCCAGCTCCCTGGGGTCTGTCCTGCTGTGGGGGTGCTTTAGCAGGGGCAGGCTTGTGCGGCGTGTGCCTGGGACGCAGAACTGAACACCGTGGGTGGGAAGCAGCTGTCTGAAAGGCAGGCTGGAAGTGACAGGGAGGAGGCAGCATGTGACAGTTCCAGGGCAGTGGCCTGTCCCCAAGCTGGTGTTCGCAGGTGCCTGGAGGGKGGTGACAGTCTAGGCAGTGGTGGGCAGGGCTCCCCAGTTCCCAGGGACTCCTGGGGCTGGCAGTGGCACCCAGAGTCTGGGCTGAGCCAAGTTGGTGTTGGCCGAGGCCCAAGCCAGCAGGTGTGGACATCTCTGCTCACGTCAGGCCCAGCCTCAGTGCGTCACCGGGTTGTCAGGGCAAGAGCAGTGGCTCTGGCACTTCTGACGGGGACACCGGGCACCCCGGGGCCCAGCGTAAGTCAGGAGGCCGACCACGTCTTCTCTGAACCTGCCGCCTCCGCTGCCCGGGGCTCTTGGTGTTTATTTGCTGTCGTCACCCTAGCAACGGCAGCTGCTCTCTGTGGAGCTGTGGAGACCTGGAGCTCACCCTGCTATGCAGAGGAGAAACCGAGGCTCAGAGAGGTGGAACACTTGCCCCGGGCCACACAGCCTGTCCGTGGCTGTGTGAAGAGCCCTGGCCACTTGGAGAGGATGGAGTTAGCTGAGCTGTGGGAGGAGCAGCACCGAGGCTCTGGGTGTGGGGACTTCGATGCCATCATCAGGAGGCACGCAGCCCTGCAGCGGCACCTGGGGCTTGCTGGAGGGACAGCAGGATCCTGGCCATTGCTTCCCAGACACCTGGGCTAGGAGTCTCCCCAGGGAACCTCATGGGGTAAACAGGAGCCCGTTCAGCCTGAAGCAGGAGGCGGCACCTCCCCTGGGGACCCCCTGCCAGACAGGGCGCGTCTGAGGAGTCTCTGGGCCCTTGACCTCCAGGGAGCCCTGAGCCTGCCTGGGGCTGGGCCTGCCTCTCCCCTGCCCACCCTGACCTAGTCCCTGGCAGAGCTTCTGGCCATGGTCCCTTTTCAGGTGACCCGGGAGTCCCCTCCTACCAGCAGCTCTCCTCGCCTTCCTGCCTCATGGACAGGTCATCTCTGCTGTCCCGGGATTTGAGGGCCCCCCCCCTCTTGCTGTCCTTTGGTGGCTGTTTCCTCACGTGTCACACAGGGCAAGACAAGTGRTCAGGGTGAGGCCGGAGTGCCGGCCGCACCTGGCCGGGGAAACCAGGACGGACGCATCGCTGGATACAGTGACATCCAGCCACAGTGACACAGACCTGGGTCAGAAGGGCTTGTCCAGCTGGACAAGAAAGTTCGTAGGCAGCGTTTTCACCTCCTGACGAGAACAATGTTAGAGGAGGAAAACCTTATTGGGGGCCCACGGCTTCACAGGTCTCCGTCCATAGACAGCCGACGCCATTCCCTGGGGCTCTCGGAACCCAGTCACCCCACCTCCACACTTTCTTGCCTTGACTCTGGTGAGCTCTGGGGGGACTCCTCCCACCTGCATCATAACAGGAGGGGATTCACCCATAAAGGCAGTCAAGGTCTCACCTGGGAACAGGTGTCACCGGGTGGAGACCTGTCGGGGAGGAGGCGCCCTCCTGCCTGTTTCTGAACATCCCCAAGCCTTGCCCTCGGGCGCCAGTTGGGCAGGTGGGCCCTGCTCTGGGTCTCCTTTCCTGCTCTTGTTCAGTCTTCATCCCCCCCGCGAGCAGCCATGCCCGCCCAGCCGAGGTCCCCGCGGAAAACCTGTGCAGAAGGCCGTCTMGGACCCAGAGCTCAGCCAGGGCCTGGGATGGAGCCACCCTTTGTCCTCTTTGTCCCCCAATCAAGCCACAGCCTGATCTGCTCTCTATGGGGGCCTGCCTGCCAAGGTCCAGTTTCCCAGGGGCAGGGGCAGGGTGCAGCCAGGCGGGGTGGCAAGCAGCCAGCCGGGAGAGGGAGCCAGGCCCGGGGAGGCCGCCGTCCCAGAGCCAGGCCCGGTGCTGGCCAGAGGCATCTTCTTTCAGTCTGTAACAGCCCCCGCTGTGCACCTGCCAGGTGTTTGGCCTGCAGAGACTGTTACTGGAGAGGTGTCAGAAGTGCTCCCCCCGACCATGTGGCACTGAGGGCCCCTGGGAGTCTGCCGAGCAGCCTGTGGCTCTCGGTCTGGAACTGAAGGCAGGTGGGGGTCATCAGGAGCCTAAACTGGCCCTGAGGGCCAACCGCCTGCTTGGTTTTTCTGGATTTTTCGTGGTGATGGTTTTGTTTTGGGGGCTTCTTGTGGGGTTTTTTGGTAGTGGGGATGGAACCCCGAGGTGCTGACGACTGACCCACATCCCCAGCCATTTTTATTTCTTATTTTGAGACAGGGTCTTGCTAAGTGGTTTAGGGCCTTGCTGGGTTGCTGAGGCTGGCCCCGAACTTGCCACCCCCCATGTTTGGCACGTGTTTGGCACCAGCAGAAGAGCTGAGTGGTGACAGACCAGCAGGCCCATAAAGCAGAAAACCTCTTCCTCTAGCTCTTTGCAGAAGTGATTGGCGGGTCCCCTGTCTGATGGGGTCTAGATGGGGCAGCTGTGGGCAGTCTGGATGTGTCCATTTACAGAGAGTGTTTGGGGAGCAGAGCACACAGGAGCCACAGGTGTTGGGGAGGAGGGGCAAGAGGAGACTGCAGGGGAGCAGGTGGGAGGGGAAAGCAATTCTGTAGGGGAGCCGCTGGGGCCTGTCAGTGGCTGGGCTTGGGGTGGTCAGAGGGAGCTGCAAGAGTAGCCCCCCCCCCCSCGCTTCCCACCCCTGACTGCCAGAAACCATCAGGGATGAGGTTCCAGAGAATTCTGAAACTTGTGTCTCTTCTGTACYCCAGGTCACACTTGGACCTGGTTCTACCCAGCAGCTTATGCACTCAGATGGTAACCTGAGCACCTGCTGTATACCATCTGGATGCTGGGCACTGGGGACAGGCAGTTATGGGCCTGGTGGGGCTAAAGGGGAATGGGGAGAGGGCTTGCGTGGCAAGTGCTGACACCAGCCTGCTATAGCGACAGGAAGACCTGCTGGGGAGCCACTTAGGGTACAGCAGGGCTCTGCARGGGTGTGGGGTGTGGGGTGTGGGTCCCAGGGAGGAGGTGGAAATTTGGAGGCAGCAGGAAGCCCAAGGTTTTCAGCAGAGAGGTGGTGGGTAGAGGTGGGTTGAAGGAGGTGACCCCAGCTTCTGTGAGTAGGAAGGGCCCTGGGAGTGGGGGAGTAGGAAGGGCCCTGGGGTTGGGGGAGTAGGAAGGGCCCTGGGGGTGGGGGAGTAGGAAGGAGGCAGAGCCAGCCGAAGCAGCAGCCCTTCTGCATATCTTCAGGGACCTCACAGACCAGAGCACCTGCAGCCTCTGGGCCTCTGGGAGCTGTTAGACAGGCGTCATCCCTCCTGGCCCCGGGGTGGAATCTGCATTGTACTAGGTCTCAATGGGCTTGTCTTTGGGGTCCAGTCTGGAGGTTCTGGTTTAGGTCTTCCCTGTCTCCCAGATGCCAGGGACGGGGCTGGGGGGACACAGCACTCTCTGTATATTGGAGGAGGAATCGGGAGGTGGGTGAGATGAGTATGGCCAAGGAGGAGGGTCAGGCATGGCCTGGGGTCTGCCTTGTGCAGCCTGCAGGTGCCGTCCATGTGCTAGATCACAGGCCAGGATGAGACCTGACCTCTGGTTAAGTGCATTCCTGCAGGGACAGTTGTGACAGCCAGCGCCCCCAGTGGCCTACAGGAGATTGCGGCCTTCTTTCCCGTCGTCGTCGTCCCCCCCCCCCCCCAGGCTGCCCATGAGGCAGGTGAGGGACCTACAGGAATCACGGCTCCAGCAAACCTGAGGCCATACAGGAGCTCATGATCTTGGTTGTGACGTCGGTTCTTGGTGTAGATGTTTGCCCAAACTTAGCTCATTGTGTGCTTTGACTATACAAGTCGAGTGCACATCAGTCACATCTTCGTGAAGCCCCTCAGTGCCATCTGGGGCAACTTACACAAACTGCTCCTGGCAGTTCCACTTTCCTGAGAGGAGCTGCTGCTGGCCCAGAATCCCAAAGCAGGGGACGGAAGCTTCTGGGCCCAGCACTTGGCACCATGTCTACATGGTGGATGATGATGTTGAAACCTGTGGAGACGCTGGAACTGGTAGTCARAGGAGTTGGGCACACAGTGGGCAACCAGTACAAAGGCCCTGTGGTGTGTCCAGTGTGTTATGGCATGGCAGACCTGTCTGTGTGTCTCCAGGGAGTGCGGTGGTGGCACCCAGCACTTCTGCACACTCCTGGAGAGCACACAGGCTCCAGTGGCTTTTATGTGCAACTTGTTAAATTCTTTAGCAACTCCACACGGCAAGTATTATCATTATCCTCATTTCCAGACACACAAAGTGTGGCCTGGAAGTTAAGTACTTTTCTAAGGCCCCACAGTGAGCGAGTGGGCCGGAGGGGAGGAGGCAGGAAGGCATAGCACCCTGGGCTTCTTTCTGAGCCATTAAGGATTTATTTTAAGGTCTGCAGAGCTGCAGGRGAAAGGGACCAGTCAGATGCATATTCTGGAATTTTGAAAAGCAGGAGATTGACGGGGACAGCAGTGTGAGCTGAGAGGGGTGGGTGAGGAGTCCACTGTGGCTGTGTCCTCCAGAAATCTCCAGGGTGGAGGCTGTCGGGCCCACCCTCTCGTTCCAGAGCCCAGTCGGTGGGCCCTCCAGCCTCTGACTCTGCCTGTCCATCTCTGCCCCTGCAGGAAGGATGCCTCTGGCCCTCGGAGAGCACCGTGTCCAGCGGTGGAATCCCAGAGGTGAGTCCCAGCGCTGCCTCCCCTCCGACACCCCTAGCACTCCAGCTTCCCCCGCTGCCACAGAAAGGGTGTCACTGCATAAGGCCCATCCCTGGGCCCTGCTCTATAGATTGCCCCTGGGTGGCCYGGACCCCTGCCCCAGGGAGAGCCTTTTCCCACGTGAAGTGGTGCTGCCCACGGGCGAGGCCGGTGGACCCCAGCGGAGACCCCACCCCGACCTTGTCCCCCCGCCCCTGACCCGTCGCCCGCCCCCCAGCCGCAGGTCTACGCCCCTCCTCGGCCCTCGGACCGCCTGCCTGTGCCGCCCTTCGCCCAGCGGGACCGCTTCCACCGCTTCCAGCCCACCTACCCCTACCTGCAGCACGAGATCGACCTGCCCCCCACCATCTCGCTGTCTGACGGGGAGGAGCCCCCGCCCTACCAGGGCCCCTGCACCCTCCAGCTGCGGGACCCCGAGCAGCAGCTGGAGCTCAACCGAGAGTCAGTGCGCGCGCCCCCCAACAGAACCATCTTCGACAGTGACCTGATGGACAGCGCCATGCTGGGCGGCCCCTGTCCCCCTAGCAGTAACTCGGGCATCAGCGCCACGTGCTACGGCAGCGGCGGGCGCATGGAGGGGCCGCCCCCGACCTACAGCGAGGTCATCGGTCACTACCCGGGGTCCTCCTACCAGCACCAGCAGAGCACCGGGCCGACCTCCCTGCTGGAGGGGACCCGGCTCCAGCACCCGCACCTCGCCCCGCTGGAGAGCAAAGAGGATAAACAGAAAGGACACCCCCTCTAGGAGCCGGGGGCCAGGCCGGGGCAGCGTGGCTTAAGGCAAAACACTCGGCACTTCCTAAAGGAGAAGAGAGGAGGGCAGGGTGACACACCCCCTCCGTGTATAAATATTTACATGTTATGTCTGGTCTGAATGCACAAGCTCAGAAAGCTTGCAAAAACAAAACAAAACAAAACAAAAAAAACACGTTTCTTTGTTGAGCTGTCTTGAAGGCAAAAGAGAAAAAAAAAAAATTCTGCAGTAGTCTTTTGTTCCCAGTTGAGCTGCGTCGTGAATGCTTAATTTTCTTTTGTTTATGATGATTTCACTTAACTTTAAAGACATATTTGCACAAAACCTTTGTTTAAAGATCTGCAATATTATATATATAAATATATATAAAATAAGAGAAACTGTATGTGCGAGGGCAGGAGTATTTTTGTATTAGAAGAGGCCTATTGAAAAAGTTGTTTTCTGAACTAGAAGAGGAAAAAAAAAATGGCAATTTTTGATGCCAACTCAGAAAGTGTGTATTACCTTGTAAAGAAAAAAAAACCTACAAAGCAGGGGCTTAGAGTTATTTATATAAATGTTGAGATTTTGCACTATTTTTTAATATAAATATGTCAGTGCTTGTTTGATGGAAACTTCTATCATGTTTGTTGAGACTTGGAGGAAGACAGGTCAGAGCTTCAGAGTGGACCTCAGGCAGAGGGGTGCCCTGGGGTCTGGAGAGGCCCACCAGGGTTCTGCAGCGCACATGCTTCTGTCTCGATAGGTTGTTGCCACATTATACATTCCCTACCGAAGGGGACACATTTCTTCCTTCTGGGCCAGAATAGCCTTTGGATGGCAGGGGAATCAGGAAAGTTCCCCCGGAGGCGCCAGGTTCCAGCTGGTGGATTTTGCCTTTCCCAAAATGAAAATAAACTGCTAACGAAGGAATTTTAGTTTTTCTTCCTCTTTCTTAAACTGCAAAGGTCCCATGGGAAGGGCAGGGTGCTGCTGGCAAGCTGGGGCTGCCCGCTGTGCGTGCTGCTAGGGATGCTCTCGAGGGGCCCTACCCGGCTTGCTCCTGCAGAGTGCTTTGGTGATTCAGCTGGCCCCAGCGTTTGCAGGCCAAGGTCAGTGCCAAGGTCAGTGCAGCGCACTGACTCCTAGGAAAGGCYTCAAGCGTGGCATTTGGCGTCCTCCCCATGGGCTCTGATTCACGTATCAATTTTGACCTAAGGGGCCAATAAACAGACCACCTGAGGTGACAGGTGACAGCCAGGTGTCTCCCTGGCATATAAAAGGGTTAAATTGGGATGATGGTCAGACCAACAGAAAGCCTGCTCCAGGCTTTAGAATTCCTTACCTCCCTCCCCACGTTTGCATTCCCTTCCCCATGGAAACAGCCACTGCCGAGGGCTATCTGTGTCCTCACCTGCCTCTTTCTCTGGTCAGCYTTGTCCAGCAAGTCCTTACTGCACAGACTGGGACTGGCCGGACCCTTGATGAGGAGTAGGATTGGGCACAGGTGAATAGAGGTGACAGGAGAYAAGAGGGGCCCCCGGGGTCCAGCAGGGGCTGTGGCGGGAGCTCGGGGTCTTCTCACAGTGGACTTGCTACACAGGAGGGACCCCGACCCCTGCGGATAGGGCAGGCTCCCACACTGCCGTCCCCTCTGGGCCTGGGAGATGTCCCCTCGTTTGGGGCAAATGCTACCCAGTCAACTGACCTAAGAGAAGGATCTAGGAGGCGGGGGACATAAGCCACTTTGTACCTGAAAACGGCTCAGAAGTTCTGACCGCTGGGCCTCTGTTTCGAGGGGTATTTTAAGAATGTGATGACCCCAGAACCCGGGCCCGAGCTTTCCGCAGAAAGTCCCCATACCTCAGTAGTGGAACCTGCCTCTGTGGGGCCTTGAAGAGGATTCTTCTCAAGGTCGTGCGGAGAAGTCAGTATAGCTTGCCCTGAAGGGTCCAGGGACACCCAGATATTCCAGCGAAACCTTCCTTGACGGGAAGCGTCTCTGGTGCCTTAGTAAGGAAGCAACCCCCCTCTCGTCCCCTGGCGGGACGTTCCTGGACAGTGCCTCACTCCCCGGGACTGGCATCCTCTCCCTTGGTTCACAAAGGGCTCCCCGTCACCCTCTGGCGTCTTCACCCCTCTGTCCTGGACGGGCCCACTCGGCGAGGCACCGGCCTCCTATCCCTGTGGTCTTCTGGGTCCAGGACTGTGCGTAACTCCCATCTGGGTCAAAAACCTAGGAAAGTGGGCTTCATTTGTACCTGTGTCCTCAGCCACAGCCAGGGGAACCGTCCTGCTGTCCCTCTTGGGACAGGCTGTCTGAATCTTGTTGCTTCGTGGGGTGGCCTGTGCTGTAGTGAAGAGGGAGGGGGAGAGCGTGGCTTTGACCTCAGCTGGCCTGAGGGCAGGGCCCATCCCCACCCCTCTGGTTCCAACCAGTGTAGAAGTCCAGGGTCCCTGGCCTTCATGCCCATGGATGACTGTTGCCTAACTTCAGGGAGAAGGGGGTTGGCAGGGCAGTGAACACCCGGAAATCCGATGGGGGGTGTCCATCTGGAAACCAGTGCTGGAGAAGCTCCCCGCTTCCCCGCGGGCCCCCACAGCTCTGGGCACACTCTGCTCGCAGTGTTGGTGGTCACCTCATTATCTTTGAAGCACCCCTAGGAGACCACCCTTTTCCAGTGGGAGGTTAGGTGGGGTCCTGGGAATGGCTGGTTTGAGGGGGACCAGTTGGTTTTGGGGTGCTGCTTCCTTCACCCCCCCCATGCCCATGGGCGACCCCGATGTTTCCTTCAGAGAAATACTTTCTTCTCTGCAGAGCCGGGGTCTGTGCATGGACCTCCAGAGTGCACCAGGAGCCCCCATCTTTTCAAAAGATGTTTTTTGCAAAGAGTAAGCGGCCCCTTTCCCCTCATGTAACAAAAACCAGGGCAGGCCAGAACCGGGTCCGTCCCCTGTCCTATCCGCTGTCCCTGTGAATTGTACGTTTCAGATAATTTTTTCCCCGTGTGCAACACAGCTTCCAGAACCTCAAAACGTCCGATGATATGGAAGGAAATGTGTCTGTTTTGTTTTGTTGCTTTGTTTTTTCTGGAAGCTGTGCTGGGAACCTCGCTGGGCCCTGGAGCTCAGAGGCCACGCGACTTCCCGCTGCCCGTCGCCCGCCATGCTTGCACGTTGCCTTCTGCCGTTGACCGCTTCCTTTGCAGCTGTTTCCCGCGTTCTGTTAAGTGAAACTCCTGTAAGCTCTCCTTGCACGCCGGGTGCAGCCCAAGTGGCTGCTGCCTAAGACTCTGTATCTGGACGCCCATCCACAGGCCTGGAGAAGCTGCTTGTTGTGTATCAGTGATCATTAGTGGCAATGATGACACTCTGAAAGCTGCAATACTTAGACAATAAATTTTACAATTCTTTGGAGCAAGGCTTCTCAACTTCTTTGGGTGTATTGCTCTTCTCCCTTCCAAACTCCCACCCCCTGCCACCTTCTAGAAGAACCCCAGGGTGCATTTAGTGGAGAGAGAGAGAGAGAGAGAGAGAGAGAGAGAGAGAGAGAGAGATATCTCAGCACTGCTTTGCAACTTTTAGTTGAGTGGCTCAACCTTTCTGTTTTAGCTCAGGAAGCCCAGTGAAAACACCTACTCCAACATTGTTCCAATAAAAAAAAAAAAAGGGTGGCTACTGGGGTTAATAGTTTCCAAAACATTGTATGCTTTTCCTCCCTCTGGGGAGATCATTATTTACCAATGCATGATGAAAATTCAGACAAGGTCTGAGAGCAAGGAAGTATCTTAAGTGGGTTTCTTCCAGAAGAACCGTGAGACGTGGCCTCTTGTGCAAGGGATGGATGGATTTAGGATGTGTCCTCCTGGGTTCAGGGGGTTGACTAAGGGAGGTCAGAGGGGGAAGAAAAGTGAGGGAAGGAGGTGGTTTTAGGTCAAGCCCCAGCTCAGCCTGTCCCTCTGGGGCCTGTGGGTCTCTGGGGTAGCTGCGCCAGGAGAGGTGGACACCCAGGCCCTCTGACCTCATGCATAAGTTGGAGCAAAGAGGTCCCAGAGTGGCCCACCCACTCGCCAGCCCTCAGCAATGCATGCGGAGTCTGGAGGAGGGGTGTGCAGACCCCTATAAAGGTTTCCAGGGATCCTGAGTGGGACCCCACAGTAGAACCCCACAGTATCCACTATAGAAACTGCACTACAGAAACTGTCTTAAATAGAGTCATCTTCAAAGTCCCATGAAGCCAGTTCAGAGGTGGGGGCCAGGATGACTGCTATCTGGCCTCAGCCAGGTCGGAGCTTCTGGACCTCGCTCCGTGGCAGAACGCAGCCCACTGGACCAGGGCAGCACTCAGCACCCTTCTGCCTTGGCTTTCCTGTTCCCTCTTCCTGGTGGGAGAGGAGCTCAGAGATGAGGATCTGGGGAGAAGCCAGACCTCCATCTCTAAGCACTGAGAGCCAGGGCCATGGGCGGTCCCTTCTAGCTTTGGAGTCTGAGTCACTCTGAGCTGCGAAGGTCACCCTGTCTGTGGACTAGGGTTGATGGCGTACCATGAGATGCTTGCCCTTGTGTCCACAGGTAAGGCCTGCAAGTGCCCAGCGGGGGAGGCACCAGCACACGGGCGTCAGCTGCTCTTTCCAGGAACTCGGGCTCTGCGTAGGGTTCCTATGCTATGAGCAAAGGCTCCCTGAGCCTCCTGGACCAGTTTGCAGGCCTTTCTTCCAGGAGTCAGGACGGACCAGGGAGCCTTTTCCAGCCATGGAGGGGAGTCTCGGGCTCCAGCCAGGCGGGACCCCTCCCAGAAGGACAGCTGGAGCAGTCAGCGCTCAGCTCCAAACTGGCAGTGAGGGCAGCTGAGACAGCACGGGCAGGGAGCTCCGGCAAGGAGCTCAGGCAGGGAGCAGGGACACGCCACCCTTCCCAAAGCTGGCGGCTCCACATTCCCAACAGCTCGCCTTTCACTTCCCTGGGTTTTTTGTTTGTTTCTATTTTTTTTTAACACTCTGGATGCCAGGCTGGCCGCAGGGAGGGCCCGTGCCACAGACCCCCAGGCTTTGTGCTGGTGTTAGAGATGGCGGCACCTCTGCCAGCAGGAGAGCGGCCACAGGAGCCAGTGGGTGGCCCATGGAGCTGCATTCCAAGCTGGGAGATGGTGCTCCCCCAC